AAACGAGAAAGTTATGGTCGTTTTACGAAGACTTGACGAATTTGGAAAGTTGCGACGAGGTTGCGAGCTATAGCTCTATGCGAGTGAGCTATAGCTCAACCCTATGAAGACTTGCAGCAGGCTTGAGCTTGCTGTTGAGCTATAGCTCGGTAGTTCGGTTCTTCTAGGATGATTTATGGAATATTTCCTAAAATTATATCTTTTCTATGACAACTATTTGAGTATATTTGTGGAACAATATAGGGTTTTTTTTTTTAATTAGGGTTTTCTTGTGTTATAAAAGGACCTCTAGTTGATCAATTAGATCTTACCTTTTGAGCCATTAGATTTAGGACTCCTTGTATTATTCTCTCGTTCTTTCTCCATTATAGTAAAGAAGCTCTCGAATCCCCTACACGTAGATTTAGGTCTAATTTGACCGAACCACGTACATCCTTGTGTTATTTGTTTATCTTCTTTATTGCTTTTCTCGTTCATAATTTTCATTGACTTGTTTCGCATTAATCATACTTTGTCAAATTTTGGCCTATGGAAATTGAAGATGAAAGCCATCTTGGTTCAAAGTGGATGTCTGAAGGCTCTTGAAGATGTATCCAAAAGCCTTCGGGCATGACGTTGGATAAGTGGGAGGAGATCGATTTGAAGGGTCTTTCGGCAATTTAATCATGTCTCTCTCCAATGATATTTTGAGAGAGGTTATAAGGAGACGACTGCTACAAGTTTGTGGTTAAAGTTGGACTTACTTTATTTGACAAAGAGTGTGACCAACTGTCTACTACTCAAATCTAGACTTCATGATCTTCGTCTAGAAGAAGGTAAACCGCTTAAGTCTTATTTAGACGAATTCTTCTCTATTAATATGGATTTGCAAAACATCGATGTTGAGATCGATGATGAGGATATGGCTATTAGGTTTTTGTGTTCTTTACTGCCTTTGTATATGCACTTTCAAGATACTTTATTGTATGGTATAGATGATTTGAGTTTGGAGAATTTTAAGGATGCCTTAACCCAGAGTGATGTAATTGACGATAAGTTGGCTAATAAATCTAATAATCCGGCTCAAAATAATGAGTTGGTTGCTCATGGTGGTAATAAGAATTTTGGTAAAGGAAAAGTTTGTAACTATTGTCATATGAAGGGTCATATCATAGCCGAGTGTTGGAAATTGAAGAAGAAGAATGAGGAGAAGTCCAATGAGGAAAAATCCACAAATATTGCCAACACCGACGATGATTATGTTTATGCACTTTAGGGTTATGAACTTCAGGGCTTTGGTTTCTACGATCTCTTCAAGATAAGTGCCTCTTTGAGATCTCACAATGAAACGAGAAACCGTGTTGATTTTTGGTATGGAGTCTATGATAGATTGCTTTTGATTTTTGTTTTAAATAAAGTAGAAATCTTTTTTATGCATTGGAATTTGTTCTAGTTATGCTATTTCTTATCTCAATTTAGGTACTTTTATGTTTCATTAAGTACAATTGCAATTTAGAAATTCTTGATGTAATTTTTATTTTCTAGAATTGCTTAAGTTTTTAATTTGTTTTTGAGATGAAGAAGTGTTTGAAGAGAGTTTGGTCTATTTTGATAAGCATGCTTGGTGTCGGGACATTATACTCTCAATCTAGAAAATGTGATGGTTTTGTATATAGAATTTTGTGTTCGGAGACGCACCAGTTGACAAGTTATGGAAGATGTCCGTTTTGTTGATTGCCTAATGTGAGTAGGTTTATGGAATTTTGTTTAAGGTTGAGGTTCTTTGTTTTCTCATGAGAATTACTTCTTGGTTTTTTGGTTCAAGGTGGAGTTACCTTGTTTTTTGGTCGATTTCAAGTCAAGGTGGAGGTTTGTTAAATTGTGACTCGAAATCTAGAAAGATGACTTTGAATGTAGATATCTCTCAAATTATAAGTTATTTTGAGGTGATTCAAGTTGTAGGTGATAGCTTGTCTCAAGATCTTTTTAACAATAGGTCATATGCTCAATTTTGATAAGAAACGATAAAGTTATGGCCATTTTACAAAGACCTGACGAAACTGAAAAGTTGCGGCGAGGTTGCGAGCTATAGCTCTATGCGAGTGAGCTATAACTCGGCCCTATGAAGACTTGCGGCAGGCTTGAGCTTGCTGCCGAGCTATAGCTCAGTAGTTCGGTTCTTCTAGGATAATTTATGGGATAAATTCTAAAATTATATCTTTTCTATAACGGCTATTTGAGTATATTAGGGGAACAATTTAGGGTTTTTTCTATTAGGGTTTCCTAGTGCTATAAAAGGACCCTTTAGTTGATCAATTAGATCATACATTTTAAGCCATTAGATTAAGGACTCCTTGTATTATTCTCTCGTTCTTTCTCCAATATAGTGAAGAAGCTCTCGAATCCCCCACCCGTGGATGTAGTTCTAATTTGACCGAACCACGTAAATCCTTGTATTCTTTGTCTATCTTCTTTATTGCTTTTCTCATTCATAATTTTCATTGACTTGTTCCGCATTAATCAAACGCAATTACACCCTTATTTCCTAACACTCTGTATATACACATTTTGAAGGGTATAAATATTAGCACACTATTCATAAGAGTAATCGCATACTTTTTATAAGTAAGAAAAATTGCAAATTGTGATCCAAAAAGTGGAGTTAAGACCACTCTCAATGGTGAGCAAAAAAAATGCTCACCCACTCTCTCTCTACCCACTTTCTCTCTCAACAAATCAATTTTGCTCATGGGCAAAATTTTTTTACATTTCCTCTCCCAATGGTGAGCAAAAAAAATGCTCACCCAACACTATCTCTCTCTTACTTTTTCAATACCCCACCATTACTTTCTCTCTCCTACACAACACTTCTTTATTTATTTATTTATTTCATTTATATTTTAACAATGTTACTCCAAATAAAAAAAAAACTAATTCAAATTTGTGTAACTTATTTTTTTTATTTTTGTCTTTTTTATCGTTAAAATTTGTCGTAAAATTAAGTACGTTATATAAAAAAATTATAAAAAAAAGCTCATAATTTTTTAAATGTTTTTATTTATTTTAAAAGCGGTACAATACTAGAGAACAATTACATTTGCAATGTCATGCGTATTTAAACTTAGGAAATAAAATAAACACAACAACTAAAAAATAACTCGACTGCGTACGGAAAAGTAGCTACGCCATAGTACTTGGCTTTATTTAAGTCGTCTAATTTCTCCCTAATTACGTGGCCCGTATCGTTGCCAAATATGTTCGACTAAATCACGTTTCAGAGATAGATGAATTTCTCTGTCACGGAGGGAAGCTTTTCGCTGTAGAAATGCGTTGAAGTCAAAGTTGGTAGGTCGGCCTACGTTGAATTCAAACGGTGGCGTTGTAGATGTTGATGCTGGTGTTGATTCTTGTTGATCTTCATCGTAGAAGGCTCTTAGAACTTCGGCTCGAGTGTAGTTGTGGCGCTCATCTTCAACAATCATGTTGTGCATAATGATACATGCTTTCATTATGTCTCGCAGTATGTCCTCATCGTACGCCAGTGACGGTTTTCGTATTATTGCAAATCGAGCTTGCAAAACACCGAATGCTCTTTCAACGTCCTTTCGAGCAGCAGCCTGGTGGTCAGCGAACAATTTATCTTTTTGAAGTTGAGGGGTTGTGATACCCTGAACAAAAGTTGCCCACTTCGGATAAATACCGTCGGCTAAGTAATATGCCATGTTGTATTCATGGCCGTTAACGGTAAAATTTACCGGAGGAGCTCGACCATGCAGAACCTCATCGAACACTGGGGAACGGTATAAGACATTTAGGTCATTACAAGATCCAGGAATCCCAAAGAAGGAATGCCATATCCATAAATCCTGATCTGCAACGGCTTCCAGTATTAGCGTTGCTTTCTTGTTCCTACCGGCGTACTGCGCTTTCCATGCCGTTGGACAGTTCTTCCATTCCCAATGCATGCAATCAATGCTGCCTATCATGCCCGGAAAACCACGCAGTTCATTTTGATGCAGTATTCTAGCCAATTCATCAGCTGTAGGGTTTCGCATGTACTCGGTTCCGAACTGCTCAATGACACCGGTACAAAAACGTTGAAGGGCAACTCGAGCGGTTGACTCACTGATCCGAACGTATTCATCCACGGCGTCCGCAGCCATGCCATAGCCTAACATTCTTATCGCCGCTGTACATTTTTGCAGAGGTGATAAACCTAACCTTCCAGCTGCATCCCTACGCTGCTGGAAGTACACATCACCTTCAACGACCTTGTTCATTATACGTACAAACAAAGGTCGTTGCATACGAAATCTTCTTCTAAATTGGGTGGTGTTGTACACAGGATTATCGGAAAAGTAATCATTAAACAACCTGGCATGTCCGATTTCCCTATCTCTTCTATTCGTACCCCCTCTAGGTTTTTTTGAAGAGTGTTGGGATTGTGTTTGGGGCATGAGGACAGATGGGTGTTGGTATGTGAAGAGTTCATCAACAAGTTGGTCATATTCTTCAGTATTTGAAGAAGATGATCTTGAACTTGAGCTTGATGATGGTCTAGAATACATCTCGTATTACTATTGTTACTTGATGAAGGGGTGTGGTTGTGGATATGTGCCATGCCTATTATATATAGCAAAAATATCAAATGAATATGTGGTTACAAATCTGAATGACCACACCAAGTAAAGGAATCAAATTTTCAACCACGGAATAGGTATACTATGCTAGTTGACAGTGACAAGTCTTGAGTGCAATAATGTCGGTATCAATGACACAAAGGTAAAGCATTCTGATAAAGTGAATATAGGAAAACGTGGCTGTACAGTGACAAAGATTTAAAGCAATTATGTCGGTATGACTGGAAACTTAAATCAACTTGTTAAACAACTTGTCATTCAATATTGGAAAATCAGAATACAAGTGTACATCTTACATTGAGATTAACCACACCACTAATACAACTTCAAAATAAAAGACTAAATTACGCTTAACAAATAAAAGACTACAACCAATCATGCTTAAAGGCCTTGTAATTTACCCAGTAAAAAATTCTTGTACGACTCTTCTTCAGATGTGAGTGGCGTAGGAGAATTCTTCAGAGCTTGCAACATATCAAACCAGGTTTTCATCTTATGAAAGTCAAGTTCCTCCCTTTTCCTCTGTTCCTTGTCTTTTTCAATTTTGATCCTCTCTTCTTTCAGTATGGCTTCCCTCTCGCGAACTAAAGCGAATTCCTTCATTCGTTCGCTAAGCTCAGACGAACCACTTTCTGTTGGTACTGCTTTCCCTATACGCTTCGCCGTTGCCTTCTTGACACCCTCGGGTCGCTGTAAACCGCCAGATGAAAAACCATCTGTAGGGGTATCCGCCTCTACATCACCTCTGGACCTCTTCCCACTTCCAGCACTACCTTCTTCCTCAGCATCAGAAGCGGCTTTTCTTTCCTTCAAGGACATTGACCATCTTAGCTTTGGTCTCCACTTTGGGTCCTTGTTAAGCATTTCAACCGCGTGAGGAAAAGTGAAATTGCGACCTTGGGCGACATGAAAAAGCTTCGCCGCACTTTTCATACGATCAGCTTCATTGTAACCACTCCCTCCCTCCGGAAGTCTACCTGCTTCATCATAGCAAGATATCCATTGCAGTGTGTCCGCTGCCAACCTTCTCCAATGCGACGTCAGACTCTTAATAGGCCTTGGCGGAATTATATGCGGCTTCTGCGTATGCAAAGTTTGGTATGCTTCGTGTACATTGCGCCATAGGGTAGTTGCTTTTTGGCTTGTACTTTTAATAGCATCCTCGCTAATCTGCAAGTACAACCCAATTAGAGCTTCATCTTCCGCCACAGACCAAACACGGGCAGCTCGTGCAGGAACCTGGTTGGGTTCCAACAAGCGAACTGGTGGAGGAGGATACTGCGGCGTCTCTGGTACGCTTTCCTCTTCGCTCTCATCGAACATTGTGTTACTACCAAGATCAGTTTCAGGTGTACGATCTTCATTCGCAAGGTTTTGTAGGGGAACCTCAGTGGGTGTCTGATGCAGTGGAGGTGGTTGGGACGACATATTGCCCATTCTTTGCAAGAACAATTGAAACTCGGGATTAGTTAGGAAATCATCACTATAACCCGAAAATTGTTGACGGAAATTTGGGTTGTTTGGATCCATTCAAAGATTCTGCATCAAAAATCACATATGTACTACTTATTAAACAAATTAATTTGATAACAAAAATAACAAAAATATCAACAACTTTATAGCAACAAAAATAACATATATACTACTTATTAAACAAATTAATTTGATAACAAAAATAACAAAAATATCAACAACTTTATAGCAACAAAAATAACATATATACTACTTATTAAACAAATTAATTTGATAACAAAAATAACAAAAATATCAACAGCTTTATAGCAACAAAAATAACATATAATAACAAAAATAACATATATACATTACATGCCATACAATATTTAATTTTTCTCCACAAAATAACATATATACTAATTTTAACACATAACTACATGTACATATTAAAACCAAACATATATTAATTTTATTATGTAACTACATTTATATATAGCAACAAAAATTAGCCAATAATTGCAATTTCATTTCGTGGCCTTCAATTTTTGTTTTCCATAAACTTACATATATACTAATTTTATTAAGTAAATACTAAAATACGTTTATATATAGCAACAAAAATTTACCATTAATTGCAACAACACTTTAATAACTACAAATATAGAAATTTATGGACAAAATATAAACAACTTTGTTAATAATTACATATTGCAAAAAATTACATGGCCTACAATTTTTTTTTTTTTTTAAAAAAAATCACATATATACTACTTATATTGTAAAACTGATAATAAAAATTAAATTTTTTTTTTTACCTCAATATGGATTAATTGCAACAACAATATTCTTCTACAAATTTCAAATACTTTTAAGAAAATAAAATTTTGGAGGATTTTTAAGTGTTTACGAAATTATATCAAAATATATCAAAATGCATGTCTATTTATAGAGAATTTAATTTTATGGCCGTTGGTATTTTTTTTTTTTTTTTTTACAAAATATTTTTTTTCAGAAAATGCATTATAAATAAATAATCGTTGCAAACGGCTAGTATTTTCTGATTGGCTGGCTGCCTACACCCGCCACGTGTCGCGTCTTCACTAGCTGCCTCACTGCACGCGTCAGCCACCCAACTTTTTTTTTTTTTTTCTGATTCTTCACTGCACGTGTAATCTCCATCTTCATTATTGTACCGTTTTATTTGTGTTTGCCAGCCAGCTGTGGGCCCCACTCCAATTACTATTCATCAATAAAAATGCTCAAGTTTTGAGCTTTTTTGGAAATGCTCATGAGCTTTTTTTCCCATTTTTACATTTGCTCACCATTGTAGCTCATGATCATTTTTTTTACTCACAAAAAATTCTCATGAGCAAAAAAAACACTCACCATTGCTAGTGCTCTAAGTGTAATACAAGAACTTCGCTTTTCTATTTTTTCACCTTTAAGGACTTCTCACTTTTTTTTTTCACCTTTAAGGACCTATGATTAATTTTCATGTCACTTAACTCATTTGAGCTCTGGCCAAAAACTTATGTCCTTCTATCAACAAATGTTAGGTCCTTTTCATTCATTAAAAAAAACTCAGTCCCTTGTAACAGTTTCTAAAAAAAAAAAAAAACAATTACCATGTTTCTTCCCTAACCCTTTGGCTGTTGCCAGTGGACCTGGCCGTTGCCCTTGTTCACCAAGTAGAACACCTCTCCAACTCCACCCAACTTCAAGCATGAAAGAAACCCACAACCTCTAATTTGTTTTCCCCTAATTTTCATCAGCATGGGCGAAGTCAAGATTTTCAAGTCCCGAGGGCCGAACTTGTTAGACAACAGATTGATTGAAAAAATTAAAATGTACTAATGTGTTTACTAATAAAAAATTTTATTTAAATTGTACTCTACGATATTTCATAATAATTATCAGATTAAATTGCATATAACCCTAAAAGTTTGATATTTCATATTGAATCTAAGCAATTAGCCTTAAAGTCCATTCAATAAAAAAAAAAAAAAGAGAAGCCAGAATTAATAATATAAACATATTAACCAAGTAAACAACTAGTCACAATCATGTAAATTTCACAAAAAAATTTAATTGAATGAAATTAAATCAATTCCAATTCCAAATCAAGCACAAACAATAGGAATAATTGATTTTCTTATCTTTCCTCTTTTTTTTTTTAACAAATTATATTAATCGAAATATCTATATGCCACTACTTCTGTATTAGCCACAATTAACTCCTTTTGCTTCTAGCGGAAAATCGCAGCAAATAAAACGAAATACTAGAATTTCCTACCTTATTTTTTCTTTTGATTTCTCAGATATTGAATGACTAATATTACAAAGTATGAAGCATGATAAGTTAAGAATGGTGGATCGGAAAAGAGTTGATAAAAGAGAAAGGGAAAGGTGAAGAGGAGAGAGGAGAGAAAAGTAATAAAGTTTAGTAGTTTCCAAGAAAAATTTGTACATATCATCGAGGATGTCTCAGGCTCTAGCAACTAAAGTCGAGAAAACCTCTAGCAGGGGCAAAATAGGAAATTTGTGTTTAGTAAGGGTAAGAAGGTAATTGAGCAGACTTGGCTTCCATGAGAAGTTTTGTAATGGAGGCACGTGAAGGGAAACACCGTTTTCCGTTTCTCATCTTCTAAAAAGAATTTAAAATATAGAAGTTCCCTCTCTATGTACTTACTCTGTCACTCTATTTCGCGTTGTTCTTCTCGCTTCGCTTCTCTGTTGACGTTCTTGTTCGTTCATTTTTCATTGTTCGTTGGTTGGTGGTTGTCGTTGTTCTCGATATCGTATTCTCGGTAATACAGGTAACAAACTTGGAAACCGTAGAATTTTAAAATGAGTACTGTGTGGTTATTTTTGTACTTTTTGGCGAAATTCGAAATTTTGAATGCATGTACTGAAATTATTGTTAAATGGGGTTATTATAGATTGTGTAAATCAATTTGGAGTTATTTGTGTGAATACAAGAAAGATTAGGTGTAATTCTGTCCAATTTTCCCGAAAATGAATTTATGTTCTAACAATTTTGAAATAAAGCTGTGTAATTGATGTGCGGAAAACCATGAAATTTGTTTTTACTAGAGTGTTGATGGATTTGGGCTTGTCCTATAATTCGGAAATTAGGTTTTATGTAGAAGTAATCGATGTTTGGAAAACCATGAAATTTGTTTTTACTAGGGGTTTTGATGGATTTGAGCTTCTAAAAGTTCAATTGATATGAATTGCAAATTTGTTAGTTCAAAGTCGATTGATGTTGGTATTTGAAACCTTAATTAATTGTTCAAAATTTCATGTCCAACAAAAAATACAAGAATTTGAGTGGAACTAAACCTCTGATATTATTTCAAAGTATTTATATGCGGATATATTGGACTTGTGAAAGTTCAATTGATGTAAAATGCAGATTTGTTGGTTCAAAGTGGACTTATGTTGGTATTTGAAACCTTAATTAATTGTACAAAATTTCATGTTTACAAAACTAAAAAATTAAGAATTTGAGTGTGGAACTAAACCTGTTGTTAATAATGATGCAAGTATCTATTTGAAGTTAATAAACACAGTTTATCATGTAGAGGGACAAATGGGACGAAAAAGGGGTGGTACTTCTGGTCCAACTATTGGTAGTGGGGCAAAGTTAGGGTGAGTAACTGTATGTTCTGTCTTATTGTTTACAATTGGGGGGATTAACCTTTATAATTTCTATGTTTACTATTGCAGCTTACAATGAAGGAAGTGACAGAGGATCTTCCAGGGGTGGAAGGTGTAAATGTTGCTGGTGATAAAAGCAAGAGAGGTGTTGCTGGTAAAAGAATAGGGCCAACAGAGAAGAACATACCTGAGAAAAGCAGTACAAAGAGGAAAGGAGAAGGGGTTGAACCTTATCAAGGGACCTTCATGAATGAGTTGTTTGCTTCTGGCATTGGGGGGGTTGAACAATTTGAAGATTCAAATGGTGGTGGAAGTGATAAGTCACAACAAGCAAGTGAATATGGCGGTGGAAGTGATGAGCAGGGTAGTGAGGAGGATGAAGAATTGCAGCATTTGGAGCGGAAAATCAGTAAGGGTAAGGCTGAAGCAGGCAAGTTGAAAAAGAAAATGGCGAAAGCAAGGGAAGCTAAATTGATAAATGCTGTTAGGGCTAGGGTTTTGGATCCACAGTAGGCGGTAATAGTTCGAAATAAAGTATAAAACTTTGTTTTTTGCATTCCATTATTTTATTTTATAGTCTGAAAGGTTGTTGGTTTGTATATGTAGGCGGTTGATAATCGTCCACTTGGAATTATTATGATAGAAAAGGAGAGGGTAGTAGATACCCAATCACATTTTTGTTCCAAGGTGTGTTTTCTCGACATTCATTCATTGATATGTGTTATGATAGGAAATTCCCTCCTATATTATGATATTGGCTAATATGTGATGTATTGAACAGCCTGCCAATGTCATATGCCGCGTGGATGCATTTAACAAGCTTGTTGATGGACTGGATCCAACAAGGAAGATGGTAGTTTAAGACATAGGGTTTGGTTCTTTTCTGAACCTGAAGTTGAACCGATTCGACAGGAAGTTTTGCTACTGGTTGCATATTATTAGGGTGGATCCTGTGAGTTGTGTGATGTGATTTGGAGATGGCATGGAGTTGCCTTTAAGTCCCATGTAGTGGAACTGTGTGCTAGGAATTCCGTACACACGTGAGCTAGTGCCGCTGACTTGTGAAAAGCTGGACTTAACATGAACAAAAGAGTTAAGCTGATTGGCAAGTGGTTTGGACTTGTGGATGCATAGGGAAGGACACACATCTCATTTGGGTGGGCCATTGAAGCGATTCAGTTAGGGTTAGAAGAAAAGGGGTATTCAGGCGGGCTCCTAGTTGATGATGATGATGTGTTGTATTTTAGGACTGCATTTCTTGTTGCTTTGTTGGGCCAAGTATTATGTCCGTCAACCGACAACGGTAATTTTTCGATCTCGTTGGTGTCGGCTGTTGCAGTGGCTCATGATGCGGAGCTGTACAACTGGGCGGAGTTTAGCCATGATTGGCTGATGGCATATTAGACAAAGTTTTA